ACTTTTATCAGCAACTCTCAGGTCCTGGCATGGGCTAAGCCTTCTCACAAACATTACAATTGTTAACTCACAAAAACTTTGTGTTTTACATGTGGTTGTAATTAATAGGAATAATGTTTTAATTATTAGTGGGTTGATCATTTTGCAAAAGAGGACACTGAAATTCAGAGAAGGAGGATGTGTGTTTATTGAGAGAGAGAAGAAAGAGGAAGAGGAGGAGAGGAGAATAAAGAAGGAGAAGAAAATTAAAGTGGAGGCTAGATATATGTGGTGGAAGCTAAAAGATGTTGGTCTTCATTGAGAACTTACTATGGTCAAGGTATTGTGAAGTCATTACTATTATTGGACACATTTTACTTCTGAGATGGTTGAGTAATTATCCCAAAGCAGCCCTGGCAGGATTATGAATCCAGGTGGTCTGACTGCAGCCATCTCTAAGCCATCACCCTACTCTGCGTCTCTACAAAAGGGGCTGCAGGTGTCCTTGCTGCTGTTCTTGATCTAGCAGACTTGGAGAAAATAAAAAATGTGAGATGTTCTTGTTGACTGACAGTGGGAGAAACCCCTAGAATGCTATTCCCACGTTGTATACCACAGATTCCAAACAAACCAGTCTGTGGCCTGGAGACTGGCTGAATTTCCCCCCAGTGCCTCTATCCCCTCCAAAAAAGTAGCTGTTCATTAAAAATCAAAATACTGAAGAGTCTTTTTCTGACTTAAAACATCTTACAACTATCAACACATGGAAAGGCAGAGAAAAATTCTATGTTGGATTTTAATAAAATATACTTTTCTCATCAAAATATTTTGATAGCATGGAAAAAGAAATGTGTGCTCATTAAAGTTTAATGAGTGTCTCTCCCTGCCATTTTCCATATGAAGATCACACACTATGACTCATGCATGGTGGGTGGTGGGAATAGTTGAATAGTTAACTTATCATCATGGGGAAGAATGCAATCCAAAACTGGGTTCACAAGGATGTAAGTACATGTCTACTGGCCAACTGCTTTTGTTGACAGGTGCCTAAATCCCACCTGTGGATTCAGACAGGCAGGCTCAATATTGTTGCAGGTTGGCTTTTACTTGCTCTAAAATGGGGGCTAATTAAGGACAGCTGCAAACTTGCTGCCAGGTAACTCTAGTCCCAAGGCTGAACTCGGGACTCCCAGAATAAAGCAATGACTTGGGCAAATGCTTTGAGGAAAAGGGAGAAAGAAAAGAGGTTCTGACTCTTGGGAGAGCAGAATTGACAATAATGTTACATCTATGTTCTAGAATCTTCAATGAAGCCTCTGTTCATAGACTGAATTATAGAACTCTCATCCAAAAATTTTAGGCTCACCCTAAAATGGGCCCAAGCTGCTTTTCTGCATTTTATCACCATTAGTCCCCTGCTTCCAACCAAAGCAGGCTCTAGTTTCTCCCCATACCTGTCATCTACTCTCTCCTTTTCCTTATTTACACTTTTTTTCAGGATCTTCAGTGATCTCTCCATCCATCTCTACTGCTTGAAATGCTGCCCATTCATTAAGGATCATCTACTGCTCTATGGCCTTAATTTTTGATACCCCACTTCAACTTAACTCATGTGATCTCTCTCCCTTGAAAAACACAGATGCTTTTGTGAAGGCAGTCACCATCTTCCACTTTCTGTGAAGGTTCCAGTGTGAAAGCAAGGTAGCCTAGCAGTTATCTGCAAAGACTTTCAGGTCAGAAAGACCTTGGTAGAAGGTTCACTCCTCCCCTTATTTAGGTACGTGATCACAGGTGAGTTGCTACAAACAGTAATAATGACAATAATAACAACAACAAACGTACTCTTGGCATTTACTGTAAATTGGGCGTTAGGTATCCATTAACTCATTATACACTCACAACAACCCTGTAAAGTAAGTATTGCCATTATTTCTTTGTCACAGGTAAGAAAAAGATGCTAAGAGAGATCAAGTGACATGTCCAGGGTCACACAGTTATTATGTTGACTTTGAACTCAGTTTGGTCCCAAAGCCCATGTTTTGAAAACTGTGCTGCAGGGGCCTACCCTCTCTGGGCCTCAGTTTTCTCATCTGTGGTTAAGATTACAAAAATGTGGGTTACAGTAATAGCCACCTTGTAAGTTGGTATTGAGGATTAAATAATACAAGAGAAGCATAATATAGAGCTCACTAATTCATAGCTGCTATCGTTGTCATCACCCTGTGCTAGTTTGTCTCCTCCTCCTGCCCGAGGGCTAAGAACATGTCCCCCTCACTCTTTGGCTTTCATATCATCTCCCCTGTGCCCAGCACATTCATTGCAGAGCTCCTGAGAGGTTCTGCCAGCTGTGGACCCATGTTAGGCTCGGAGAGATTGACGAAGTCTTCTAGCATTTTCCTAGAATTTGGGGAAGTGTCCTAGGTAATTCTAAACCTCTGAGCCATTGTGCTTTTATTTTTTTTGTACTTTCACTGCATTTAGCTCCCTCCCGAACTCCTGTTTTATTCAATTTATTTGACTCCTCTCCATGAGGTCTCTTGTGTAATACTTCAATGTAACATTTTCTTTCTCTTCTCTCCTTCCCCTTCTCCTCTCTTCCTTCCCTTCGGCTATTCCCTCCTCTTCCTTCCTCTCATCCCCCTCCCCACTTTTCTCTGTTCTCTTTCCCTCCTGCAGTCACTGGCAGGATGAAGACTGCTGTCTGAATGCCACGACTGTATTTTATTTCTCCAGTAGGCCAAGCAGCCTCCCAGATCCTTAGTCCATTAGCCAGAGTTTCTGGAATCAGTCGGAGGTGCTTTACCCAGGAACACCTCTTTCCCTGCTCTGATTTAGTTTGTTCTTGAGGTTAACATGGTTAATAGGGTTAGTGGTTAAGGGGCAGTTTATGGGAGTCTGCCTCCTGCCTCCTTTCCTGAACGATCTGGGCACCGGACCGAAGTCAGAATTTCCATTTCCCTCATGCTTGAGTCCCTGTCAAACAGTTCTACCTCTAAATAAGTTTCCTCCAGGAAAAGTATCTCTGATACCTTAGTGGATATTAAAAACAAAACAAAACCACAACTTTTTAAAAAGTGCACCCTCCTTGCCCAGCTTGCACAGCTTGTTGTAGAGGGTATTTTATTGATTCTGCCCCTGGGGAATGAAACTGCTCTTTAAGTAAACGGGGAAGATAACTAACAATCTTTCAAATTAGTAATGTCTAAAAGATGAAAGTTATTAGTTTCTTTTATACATCCAGTTTGCTAGCAGCAGTGCAATTCAATTCCATTCTGTGCCATGGTGTGAGTGCTGCACAGCTCAGCAGGGCTCTCTCCTGAGCCCTTGACAGGGACAGGCTGTCGTTGCATAACTGGGGAGAGCATGCAGGCCTTCCCTCTGCTGGGAAAGCCTCCTAGACTGAGACCATGAAAGAGAGCAGGAGGGGATAACGGAGAGGCCTTCAGGGCACTGCCCATGTCTCCCAGGGCCAGCAGGCCAGGAGGGCAGCCTGCCCATTTGGGGATGGTAGGCAGACCAGCCCTGCTTAGGGTGTCCAGCGCCTTACACTATTAAGTTCATGTTTTCACAGATGGATGGCACCCCTGGAGGAACGCCAGTACTATATCTCCATTTTGGGTTTATTTCCTATTCTGCGTGCAGACCCTGCACATCCTCATTTTTGTCTCCTCAGGCCTCTTGTGCAGATGGTGCTTAGATGGGCCTGTCAGGGGTGACCGGCGTGAAATAACCAAAGAGAGATGAAAACTTAAGCCTTTTAAAAATGAAGGGCCAGGGCTTCTTATTGTCAGTGGGCACTGCATGTCTGTGCTTGGATGAGCCTTATCCTAAGGTGACTCATTGTATGGTAGTCCTCAAGTGTCACCCACATAGCACGAGATGCGACAAAAGCTGCCATTTGGAATGCTATTCAACAATTATTAGTTTTACAAATGATTCACAGAAAATCATTCATAAGAAACAAGGTCCAATTCCCTCCAACTTCCATTGCTTCCCCCTGTCCCAGCTCTAGGGGCATTTAAAATATGAGAAATTTTGTAAGACTTTGATTTAGCTATTGCTTTAGAGGAATGCAGCTTAGGATTTGCACTAATCACTCTTAATCACTTCAAGAAGTATGTTCTCCAGAGACTTGGGAAGGTCTCTAAGCCCTGGATAAAGCTAGCAGGAGATACCATGCCCCAGGGACCTGCTGGAGGCCTGGTTTTGTGCTCACAAGGCAGAAAGCTGTGTCAGGGATGCCGCTATGATGCTGCCAGTGCTCCTGAGATGCGGGAGCTCATGGGCTACCATACTGAGCCCTTTTCTGCCAACTCCCTTCGAGCCATCTGGGCAGAGATTTCTGGTGGTAAATGGAGAGACAGTGTTAAAACTGCTAGTCAAGTGGGCCAAAAAACAAAACAAAACAAAAACAAAAACAAAAAAACCCTGGGGACAAAAGTCAGAATGGTAAGCGGGGAGGAGGTTATTTACTGGAAAAGGCATGAGGGAACTTTCCAGGGTGTTGAAAATCCTCTGCATCTTCATCTGGCCAGTAGTTGCAAGGTGCGTACACATGTAAAAAGTCATTGTCATCAAGCTGACATTTCAGTTTGTATATCCTGCCGTATACAATTATATCTTAATGAACAAGAGTACTGTCCAAAACACAGGTGGGAGATGGTTCAAGTGGTTTCCATTTTGTGCCATGCCTGACCCACTTTGAGCTGGAGTCAGTGAGAGTTCTAAGTTTATGTATCCATTACACATCTTTATCTTCCTCCACATGTGTTTTTATACCTACAGGTTATATTTATATCTGCAGCCAGATCTATATATGTAAATCTGGAGAGGAGAGAAAAGTGTTATATATGTAAGTCTATATATAGGGTGGTTTACTTCTTTCCAAGAACAGGAGGATCCTAGATCCATTTTTATTTTTTTTGGAGCCAGGGGACACACACACACACGAAAACAGAGTAAGCCTGAATAAATAATCAACGACCTTGCTATTCTCTCTTGCCTGAGATGCTAAAACTGACCTTGATGATGATCTTGGGGATCGTCAGCACAGTGGACTTCTGCTTCGCTAGAATATCCCCAGTATCATTGACACGAGCGGTGACAAAGAAGTGCAGGGATGCTTGCTCCAGCAGCTGGCCCATGTACTCTCCGGCTCTGACCAGCACCTCCTCTTTCTTGACTGGCAGAGGGAAACAAACATGCCGGGTGTCAAGATCTGAGACAGGATCTGCTTCACTTTTCCCTAGCACCCCCATCTTTCCCACATTAGCACATCACCCACTGGAAACACAGCAAAGGTCGGGGAGGGGCAGATGGCACAAAGAGTCAATCAGGAATAAGCTCTTCAGTGTCTGGGTAAAGAAAGAATGTGTTGGAAATTTAATATTCAGTAAAATCGTCTTAGAGAAAATGTGTCACATTTTCCAAACAGTGCTTTTTCTGTTGTAAAATATAATGTCATGTTTAAAATCAAGGACCAAGGGATTTAACTGTAGTTGCTTTGATTTGGACAAAAACAATCTGAACATAGCTGATGTGGAGGAGTGAAGTTCAAGGATACCATTCCGTGTGCTGACCCCTCACGCAATAAGAAACATTTCATGCAGGCCAGAGGCCACACTGGAGCAAGACTGTCAATTACCCAAACCTTTCATTCCCGTGTAGTGCTCCACATTTTCTCTCTAGCTTCTTCTGAACCAATCTGACATTGTTTCTCTATTTAAAAGAAAGAAGCTGTTGAAACCAGTTTTCACCGTAGGCATTCAACTTCTTCCCACCCCCTCTCCTGTTTGCCACTTAAAAGACCTTTGTGCCAAAAGCTTGTTTCCTCAAGTCACTGAGGTTAGCTTTTGGAATGGTGCTGGAGGATGTGCAGTGGTCCTGGTTCTCTGTGCACCATCAGGCTGAGGACGCGGATTCTATCATGTGGCTCTGGCCATAGCAATGAGGTTCAATTTGGCTGCATCACCCACTTCCTCTGTCAGTTCCATGCCCCACAGCCCAGGGTTCTAGAGAGGAAAGAGCAGTCTTTCTGCAGGCCGAACCTGGGCCACAGTGCAGCACCTGCTGCTGCCTACATGGTCAGAGCCACAGCCACCCACGTGTTAGTGTGACATTGTCAGGCAGCAACCCAGCAGGGAAATGGTGACTCACACCCCCACCCCCACGCACAGAGCACAGCTCTGCAAATGTTCAGAGAATTGAACATCTCTACCACTGCTTCCCTGCCTGATGTCTGCCTTTTGCCAAAGTTTCCTTCTTTTTGTGAAAATTATTGAAGGAAGTAACTCCCATGATCGATAGTTCCAAGTGCAGAGGGTAGTTCCTTACACCCCTCCGTAATGAGCAGTGGCCCCTGCAACCAGGAAGGACCACTGTGTGGAGGCAGCACCAGGGCACAGGGAAGCCTCCTGACTGGCTGGCTCACAGGTGAGGGTGCATCAGCCCCTGATTCAAAGCTCCTTACGAATGAGCAGGCACTGTGACAGCCTCCAGCTCTCTGACTGAGGAGTTCTCAATCTTGGTTGCACATCACAATCACCCGGGGATATTTAAGAACCTGCTCTGCTGGATCCCACTCCAGACCAATTAAATTAGAATCTTGTGGGTTGGGGCTGGGCATTGTTTTAAGTGCTAAGGCAGACTTTAGTATGCAACGGTGGGGGGAGGGTGGGGGGGGGGGACAGAGAAGCAGCTTTCCAGCCACCAGGGGTTCTCCATGGAATCAGCCCTGAAAAAGCTGTGGTGCAAGCAGAAAGGATGTCCTTCCCAACCCAGGCCCCTGCTGCTCCAAGTGTGGTTTGCACCCCAGCAGACCGCCATCACCTGGGGGCTTGTTAGAGATGCAGGTTCTTCAGCTCTACCCCACCTACTGGATCAGGCCCTGCTCTTGACTAAGATGCCCAGATGATGGGTATGCAGGTTTGAAAAGCTCTCAGAGACCAGAGGTTTTAGCAGCAGAAGTGGCAGAGTTTGAGCAGACTTAGGACAGCCTCAGTTTTAAAATGGAAAGTTCTGTACCCCAGAACCTACTCCATTCTGTACAAAGTGGAAAGGCTGGCCATCCTAGACCAATGGTTGTCGACTGGGGGCAACTCCCCATCCCCATCCCCAGGGGATGTTTGGCAATGTCTGGAGACATTTTTGGTTGTCAGAACTGAGGGTTGCTACTGGCATCTAGTGGGTAGAAGCCAAGGATGCTGCTAAATTCCTGCAATGCACAGGACAGCCCCCACAAGAATCACCCATAACCTGGAATGCAGGTGGTGCCTCTGCTGAGAAACCCTGCCCTAGGCTGTGCAGAGTTAATAGAAGGTTTTGGTCCATCCTAGTCACGTACTAAACAACCTGGATTGATTCCTGGGGCAGTCTTATTCCAGTCAGAGCCAGCCATTTGAATCTATGAACTGGCCTTGATCTGGGCCCTTGAATTCTGCGCTTTTGAATGACCCAATTATACCACCTTTTTTGGGCCTGAGCCTGGACTCTGCATCCTCCATGGCTTCCCCATCAATTAATTGTCCAGATGAATAAGATTCTGCCCCCCAATTAGACATAGTCTCAGATGAGCATATGGGGCCTGCTTTTCAGTTCCCCTGATCTGGACAAATGGGATGGCAAAATGACAGGCCTTGAAGAATGTGCATTTTTCCTCTAGATACCTCCAGAAATAATAAAATATGGGTCTCTCTGGCTATTTCTAAAGGATTGTGTTTGACCATTGGGTTACTTTAGGTTGCTGAGATTACCTGACTTCTTTCCATCAATCCTTTGAGAGGCTCTTGCTACCTTTGTAGTGTTGGCATCAGGGCCCCTCTATCTCCGAGGCAGAGTATTCTCTCTCATAGCACCAGGGAAACTGGGCTGTGCTTCCAGCCCAAGAGAACAGCATGCTTGAAATAGTATGTTACATAAGTGCTGTATTTTGCCACCCCACAAGAAATTGTTCTAGATAAAGTTTATTAAACGTGGCAAGAGAAAGAAGAATAGGTTTTCATTCTATGAGTGGTGGAGCTGGGATCCTGCCAATATCACTTACGGTGTCTGGGGAAAGCCAAGGGAGACACAGACTGGAGCTGCCTCGTCTCTTTTCCAAAAAGCAAAGAAAACTAAATATAGCCATGTGGAAATGATAGCACCTTTGAAGGTACTGGCAGGTTTAAGTTATTTAAGTTTTCCAAGCCGATTCGAGCCCACACATTTTCTTTAATCATCTATCTGGAAAGTATGCCTCCCATTTTACTTGAGAAACTTTATTTGCAAGACAGCCTCCTAGGAATGTACTCTGACCTGCTAAATCAAGGTCTAGAATCATGTGGCTTTTTACAATAAGGCACAATTTACTTTAGATTGCAATATGCAATTTATTGCATGTAGTTAATGCCACCTACTTGTAGGGTAAAGCAAGAAATAGTCTCCAACTCCCTTCAAGTTATTCAGGACGAGCCTTGGGGTGGGCTGAGTGGGTAAGGCCAGTGTTAATACTGAGTCCAGCTTAGGTTTGGTCAGCTGTCCCCAGATCAGCAACTGAGAGGGCTAATATATCATTCTAGCTCACTAACTCATATGAGCTCATTCATTTATTCAGTTATGGAGAGAAGGAGAAGGAGAAAGAGAGATGGGGCTTTCACGAAGTGGAAAAAGAAGGGCATGTAGTTCCCTGTTCAGTGGAAGGAGGGGTAGCTGGACTCTAGGTAACAAGGGCACAAGTAGGGAAACTGGCCCTCTTAGGGCCCAAGGTTACAGCAAATTGGCTCGCTGTCATTGCCTGAATGGGACCTGGATTCTATTATCTTCTTTGCCTCTAATTACTGTGTGTGACCTTGAACACATCAACTCATCTCTTCAATCTCAGTTTCCAAAAATGTAAACATGTTGGAAATTAACATTTACTGAGAGCCTACCATATGTGAAGCATTTCACATATATTTATCTTATTTAGTTTCCTCCACACTCTCCTTTCACACTACCCATCCAATCTGTCAACCAATCCAGTGGGCTAAACCTTCAGAACATCTGACAAGTTCTCACTAACTCCCTTGCTACCCCACCATCTCTCACTAAGTGATTGCAAGAGGGTCCTAACTAGCATCTAAGCTTTAGCCCTACTTATCAGAGTTTATTCTCGACATAGCAGCCAGAGTGATCTTTCAAAATCTAAGTTATGCCATACTTCTGCTCTGAATCCTCTAATGGTTCTTCAGGTCACTTGGAAACAAAGTCAAAGTCTGTAAGGGCCTACAGCTCTTTCCATGGGTTGCACCCTCCACTGTCCCCTTGCCGCTTTTGCTCCTGACTCTGATCTCCTTGCTGCTCATTGGAAACATCAGACATGCTCTGGCTTCAGGGACTTTGCGCTTATGGTTTCTCCTGACTGGACAGTTTACTTCTACCCTTCTTTTAGGTTTCTCTTAAATCGTTTCTTCCCCAACCACCCCATCTCCACCACCAATTCATATTTCCCTTAACCTGCATTCTATTTCCCTATTATAGCCCAACCACACTACATATTTGCTTGTCTGATTGTTTATTGTCGAGCCCCACCCCTACCACAGGAGATCATAAACTCCATGAGGGTAGTAGCCACTTCCCTCTTGTTCATTGCTATACCTCCAGTACAAAGCAGAACTGGACTTGTGAGCATAAAGTGAAGGTTTGAGGAATGAATCAACAACCCTGTGATGTGGGTGGTATTGCTTCCATGTACAGATGAGGGGAGTGAGCTCAGGTTGCTAAAGTACTTGCCTAAGGACATACACCTAGTAGGTGACATAGTCACACCTCAAATCCAGATTTGGCTAATTCCAGGCTCAGGCCCTAAAATTCACTGTGTCTTCCTGTGCTAAACAATTGTAATGACCATTCTGCTCCTGAGTCCTTTACCAAATGCTCTTTTCTGTAAGAATTCCTTTTCCAACCCCTAGGGCTAGGAAAAGTGCTGGGTCTTCCAGTTTTCAAAGAAAAATACTCTATGATTGATTTCCTAGTTGTTAAAACCGCATTACTGAAACTAGGGAGCATTGCTTCCTTCAAGTTTGGGTAGGTTTCTTAGAATTAGGGTTTTTAGGAATAGTTTCCCATTTTTTTTTTTTTCTGGGAATGTCTTTCTGAACTTATTGTGGCTTGGGACAGGCACCAAATCCAGAAAGCTTGAACACTATGGAGACATGATTTGGTCCTATGCTTTGTGAAACTTATGATTCATATACCTTTCCTTTTCTTTTCTTTTTAAGTGCCACACATCAGGTCAACAAAAATCTGGTGTCCTGAAGTGTTCAGATCCTTTCCAATCTGCTCTGCCTGACTTGACATGCTCTGCCTGGAGACTAGCTCTTTTTGCTTGACTTGTTCTGCCAGTTGTGCCCAACTGTTGTGTCCACAAAATATTAGGACCTGAGGAAATGAGATTGATTGAAATTGCAGTCCTCATTGTAAGCTGCAGCATGTCAATCCCAATCCTTCTCAAAATATTCTGGATTTTTATAGTGAAGAAGATGCTTTGGAGGGCCACGTATACAGGGAAGGCTGGAAGGGATCAAGGATGAGAAAGAGTCCCCTGAGAGATGGTAGAGAGAGAATAGCCCCTCAGAGGCTCCTGGAAAGAATATCCTGAGTGCCCCACCTCCTCTCCCAATGATGGGTTCTCTCCTGTCTTTAGATATCAGACAGATCAATTTTCAGTAATGGCCTTTATGCAGAACTTAGATCTCCCAGCCTCCTGAATGGTAAAGCAATATCCATTATTCCTGCTAGGGCAGCCCCCTAAAGCCTGACTTGGAGAAAGGCAGCACCAGGAGACCTGCTTTCTGAGGTGTGCTCTTTACAGACTTTCCTTTGTACTCCATACCCTTGGGATCTTATTCAAATGCAGATCCTAATTTGACAGGTCTGGGTGGGGTCTGAGAGTCTACATTTCTAACCAGCTCCCTGGGGATGCTGATGCTTCAGGTCCTCAACCCACACTTTGAGTAGCAAGAAATTAAGTTATATTTAATTTCCATGACTCATGGGGCTGCTCTAGGTTTTGAAAATTTCAGTGTTCACTTCTATGCATGGGGCATGAAGATGAAAAGTGAGGCCTCTCTAAAAGAGGTTGGTTCTACCATGTGGCTCCCGCTTCTGAATTCTGGGGCAGAACTTGACCTTCAACAGAAAGTTATTAGAAGGTATCAGCACTGAGCCATACAGAGAAGCAGATCACAAGTCCTGGAGGGAACATCCCCCTTGATGAGCTTACAGGACAAAGGCTGCAGGGTCACTTCGAATGTTTCCTTCTTGAATTCCTCTTTGGAGACCCCAGTGTAAAAGACGATGTTGCCAGAGAGATAGGCTGAGATGGTGTAAGTGTTGGGGCTCTTGTTCTGGAAGGTGATGGTGAGCTTGAAGTCTTTTCCTAGCACGGCATTTTCCACTTCAAAGTCCATATCTACGTCAGACTTTGACTTCACGATGTCTTCTGTGTTGAGGGGTTTTTTAACCCCGTACATCAGGGCAGTTTCGAGGGCCAGCCTCTCTTCTTTTTGACCTAGGAAAGATGGAGAGATAATGACAGGGTAAAAGAAATGAGAAGAGAAAGAGAAAGTTGTGGTAATAGACACCTTGTGCTTGAGCACTGTGTGCTGTACCTGTTGCACTGCCTCTAAAAGCCACACACCTTGCTTTGAGACAGGTGTCAACATTATTCTTAAGTTACAAATTCTGCCAAATCAAGTTCCCAGAGACCTGCCCAGGTTCCAGAGTTAGGCGGCATTCCCAGGACCAATCTGACGGGGTTTATAAGGGGCTTGCTTTAACAATTGTTTCTGTAGTGTTCAGCAGTAGAATTGGAAAAATCTAACTCTCAAAATGTCGTATCAATTTCTTCCCTCCCCAAGTCCTAGCCATGTAGCTAGCTAGAATTTGGGGATCTCTTAGCAAAGATGTTGGCAATAGTAACACCTGGCCATTTCTCATTCTGCATTATGAATTTTCTACTATTCCTGAATATCCCCAACAATACCTGTCTTCCCATCTCTCTTTCCACTTAGGCCTGTTCCATGGGCTCCTGCTGAGCTAATCCTGGGAAGCTCTCAACCTGCCTTCCACTTCTTTCTCTGTTGTCACTGGCTTCCAGCAGAGTGCAGAGATTGCTGTTTCCCAAACAGTGTACTGCACTGTAGTCTATGATCTAGCAAACCGTTCACAAGCCTTCCCTGCTAAAAGGCTCTAAGGCCAAGTTCCCTTGGGGAGCACTGGGTTCTCTAGTGCCTCCTGGGTGTCAGCAATGTCCAATAGCATATGAAATGTTCTGATATTGAGCTCTGCAGTGGGGAGGCTTGTTTAACTAGGTTCTCCAAACTCATCTGACACCGAACATTTTGTTTTTGAGGAACGCCTATTAGCATGGTGGTACTGTTGAGGCAAGTGAGCTGTTTTTAGGAATGTCTTTTGTAGGGTTTCCAAGGTAGTGGTGGTAGAGATGAAGGTAGGGAGAAAAGGAGTAGGGGTGAGCACTAGACAAAGAAATAAATAGTTTTTCTGCAGGTGAGGATATGAGAAATACAGGTACAAGTTAGATCTCAAAGTTTGCTGCTCCCAACTCCAAGCTGGGCAAACATTCCTCGCAGAGCATAGTACAAAAATGCTTGGCCTTGAGGGACAGGGATTGAAGAGGTGTGGAGGAATAGTTGCTAGTCTCTTTACCATCCTAATGCCTTTGGGTGTATCTTAGTGTGCTGTGAAAACTAGAGAGGTGCATTTTTTGGCTTGTAAAAAGAAATCATGGGAATGGCTGGCAAAAACAAAAAACACTTCAATGTAAAAATGCTGGCTTTTATAATTATGTTAATTTTAAGATATTGTCTTTCAATTAGTTTATAATAAAATACAATGGAAATGAAGAGGTCAATTAATAATAATAACTATCATTGACAGCTAACTATGCAATGGGTGTTGTGGAAAGTATATCGTATATAATCTCATTTAATCCTCAAAATAACTCTACAAGGCAGGCACATTATTACCATCAGTTTCCTGGTTTGCAAAACAAGGGAGCAAACATCATAGAGTTATTAGGTGGATTTAAGGTAGTACATGCATAAGAATTGACAGCTACTAGTACTTTGCAAAGACAGAGAAAATGCCAGAAGGTTTTGCAAACAATGGAAAATGTGTATTTGTGTGTGCACATGTATTAATAATTTCTGTGATTGTTCAGACTGCCAGAATGGCCCTGATTGGTGTGGCTCAGTTAATTGGACCTAGTCTCACAGAGCAAAGACTTGTGGGTTCAATTCCTGGTCAGGGCACATGCCTGAGTTGCAAGTGATGTCCCCAGTTGGGGTGCATGTGAGAGGCAATCAGTCAGTGCTCTCTCTCACATTGATGTTTCTCTTCCTCTATTTCTTCCTCTCTTCCCCTCTTTCTAAAAATAAGTAAATAACATCTTTAAAAAAAAGACTGTCAGAATGTGCCAGAAACCATTTGTCTAGGACAAGCATTGGCTAGAGCACACGTTTACAGATCAATAGCGGGGGAGATAGTAAAGAGGGAAGGAGGGGCTGTGACAAGGAAAGTGCAGTGAAGTATTTTAGCAGAATGCATCTGGCAAGTAGCTTTGTGAGAAAGAGAGCATTAGTGGCTATCATTTTGGATGAATACCAAACATGCATTTAGGAAAAACCCTGGGGGTGAACATCAGCAGCAAAAACACTGTCAGGGAGGTTTCTCCGTGGCTTTGGGGAGAGAGGCTGAGCTGGGTAGGTTGAAGGGAGGGGGCCAGGGAAGGCTAGTGGGGCTCTAAGAGATTTTACAGCATGTGGTGTCATGGGTGGGGCAACCTCTGGTTTCCTTCTGGGGACAAGAGTGCCCCTGTGAGCAGGAAGTGCCAGGCAGAGGCAGGCTGGGTTGTTATTGGAAGCAGAGGTCCGCACAGGAGACAACAAGTGCAGGGTTGCCCCAGAGCTTGGCAGAAGTCCCTGTCACTCTGAAGTTGGGCTTTGTGCTCGGATATTTCACATAAGTCAGGCCATGAATTTAATGCTGTGAGAGAATGATCTAAAGCCAGATTATATTTTCTGAGATTCCTCCGTGCCTCCAGGAGCAAGGCCACCAACATCTTTCTGTTGACTGGAATGCAGTGAGAGTGCCCTTCTCTTTGACCGAGGCCCTTCTCATTGTTTGAGTCTTAGCTCAGATGTCCTCTTCTCAGAGTGCCCTCCTTCCAGTTACCCTGGATAGTGTGTCCCCAACCCCAGTCCTCTCATCTCTCACTAACATATTACCTGGTTTTATTTCCTTTTGTATGTACATGTCACTGCATTATATTATATTATTTCCTCTGTTGTAACACAAGCTCCGTCCTAGGACCTGGCCTGTCACAGAGCTCTGAAGGACCGAGGTTTGGGGAAGCCCTTTTCTTTCATCCAGACCCAAAACTTTCATCTTTGTAATAGATACTAAATAGTCCACTTTAGGACATTTGGTGTTCAATTAATCTCACCCATAAAACTGCCACCTGAGTTACCATGCATTTGATCATTTTATGCTAGTTGAGTCCCTACAGTGTCCAGGCACTGTGCCCAGGTGAGAAGCACAGCACTTCCCTTAGAGGTTTAGGGGGCCAGTGAAGAGGGATCACCATACCCCCCTCTGTCACAGATGCTGGGGCAGGTGTTTTCTGTGTGATGCAGGAAACAGAGAGAGATTCAATAGCACCTGGGGGGCAGGGAAGGCTTCTCAGAGGGGTTTTCCCTCCACAGTGAGAACAAAGACCTGGAGGCAAGTGGGAGCCTGGCTTGAGGGAGGAACTGTCAGCAGCTCCCCTGGCTGCAGCCTATGATACCTGTGGGCATGGTGAGGAGGGGCAGTGAGGGGGCCAAAAAGACAAATAGCAGAGGCTGGGCCAAGCTCTGACTGCAATGCCCAGGAGATGGCTGAAGAGAGTGAGGGCTTTTTAAGTAGTGCGGTACCGGGCTCAGTTTTACGTTTTAAATATGTCACTTATGGTGGCAATGCAGGGTTTAGAATGAGGTAAAGAGGATAAGGGGAAAGGTAGAATTGGGAAGCTTTAGCAGGTTTCCAGGAGAAAAAATATCCTAGCCCAAGCTAATGGTAGAGTAATAGTAGGAATAATAAAATTACTAGCAGTAACAGAGACTTAACTTTTATTGGATGCTTTCTGGGTTTCTGGCACTACGCTAAGGGCTTTCTGTACATGATACCAGTTAATTCTCAGAGAGGGGCCATGGAGAGAAAGAGGAGCAGATGAATTTCACCTCTTTCAGAGGGGGCATTTAGAAGATTCGCTGCTTGACTGATTCTCAAGTTCTAAATTTGGTTGGATCCTCGTTCTCTTCACTAGGGTAGGGAGTGGAGGAGAAATAGATCTGGGGTTGGGGAAGGGCGGGAAAGGTGACATTTGGGAAAGTTCAGTTTCAGGTTTCTGGGGGACATTTAGGTAAATGTGGAGCTGAAAATTGAAGTCTAAACTGGAGTCAGTGACCTGGGAGTGATCAATATATATGTGGCTGTGTGCAGAAAGAATGTAAAGGAGGTGGGCCTAAAACCCAAGGATGGGAACCTAGAATGAAGTAACATTCAGAGGGCATAAGAGAAGGGGAGCTTAGAAAGTAGGAGGAGATAGAAAAAGGAACCCAGCAGTTTGAGATGGAAGCAGGAGACATTTGTATCAGAGAAATAAAACAGAGAATTTCAAGACTCAGGAGTGAGAAATTGCATCAAAAAGTGTAGGAAGGTCAGGCAAGCTGAGGCCTGCAAAATATTTGTTCCACATGGCAATCTGGTGGTCTTGGCAACCTTGAGAAGTTCTTCAAGGATAGGCTGTAGCAGAACACAAGATACAATAGGTGAGAAATAAAAGGAAAAGGAACCAGACAGGATGCCAGGTGCACGTAGCTCTCCCAAGACACCTGGCTATGGAGGCAAGGAGAAAGCAAGCACAGGCATATCTGGTGGGGGGGTATATTGTTAGGAAAGAGTTTTGTAGGCTTTTTAAACATAGGTGGCATTTGAGCCTGCTGAAACTCTAGTGGGAAGGAGCTCATAAAGGAGGGATAAAGATATAAGTGATGGAGGGAATCACTGACAGGGCAATGACGAAATGGGATCCAGACACCCTCATAAAGATACATTGCCACAGAACAAATTTTAGGGATTCTGATTTTCAAAGTTTTATAGTATAAAAGGTATAAAATTAATGTTAAGTTTTAGTTTATCAAAGTGAAAAGTGATCTATACACAATTTAGTTAATTAAAATAATACATTTCTAAATCTGGTAATAATTTCTTTTTTATGTTTTTACTCATTGCCAAACTTTAGCGGCCTCCCTCAGAATTTGTGGATAGAAACATTAGATGAGAGATTAAATAATGAGGATCAGCATGGCCAGTGCATGGTCACGAATGCTGGCAGCCCCTTCCTGGACGCCCAGGCAGACAACAGTTATCACTCACCCTTTCCACTATATTTAAGAGCAGTCTCAGCATCCTTCTCTATACAGTTCTCTACTTGGTCATTCCCAAAGCTAGAATTTGAAATGCATATGCCAACTATGATTAAGAGGCTAATTATCCATCTACCTTGGATCAAACTCCAGCCCAGAAGCAGATTGGGTGCGTCTTACAACTATCTATGCAAATTTAGGGGCTTTTCTTTTTTTTTTTTTTTTTTAATTAATTTATTTACTTTTTAAATACATTTGTCTCTGCCTTCCCCCCCCTCTTTCCCTTGCCCCCTCCCACCTTCCCTCCCTCAGCTCTTCCCCTTTGGTTTTGTCCATGAGTCCTTGCTATATGTTCCTTGACTTTCCCCTTCCCTTCCCTTTCCCTGCCCCCGCCTCTTCCCTCTTGTCTCTGTTGATTTCTTTTCCTTTCAGTGTTGCTGGTCATATTTGCCTTGCTTCTTTGCATTGTTGGTTAGGTTCCGCTTATAGGTGAGATCATATGGTATTTGGGGCTTTTCTATTCTAGACCAGATTGCCACACAGTCCACCTATCTGAGCCCTGCCTTCTTGCCAAACTCTGGAGGCCTGGACTGCAAATGTTTTTCCCATTCAAAGCTGGCACGTTTTATGTGTTTTAATCTGGTGTCCACCCCTGGCAAAACCCCTGACTTCTTTTTTGTAGACTGACTTTGGGTCCTTCCCTCTTTGGCATCTGACCCTTATGTGGATTTCACTGTCGCCTCTGCGGCTGACAGCTAATGGCATTCTGCTCTGTGGCTTAGACAAGAGAGCTGATGGTTTGGGCGGCTCCCTGTAGGCTTATGCCTTGTTCTCTTGTCCAGTTTCCTAGGGGAGTTTACCCACAATCCTTGTCCTGCTGTCTCTTCCTGGAGCGCTCTTTCCCCATGTTTCACCTAGCCAATTTTCGTTTGTCTTTCTATCTCAGTGAGCCCATCATGAAAGTCCTCTGGGATCCCTGAGCCTGACTTGTGGCTCCCTTTTCTGTGCTTTGTAGCAATTGTCCACCTCCTTTTCAGGACACCCATCACACAACTTGGTGATGGTTTGCTTCCTGCTTGTCTCTCCAGCTAGACGGGAAGGCAGGGGTCTTCATGTCTCCATTTGTACACAGTGTTGAAAATATGGGGGTGGCTAATAGCAAGTTGTTGAATGAATGAATGAAAGAATGGATGTTGCAGCTAGTTTATTCTACCCTTTTTATGTGCTTTTCTTTTTCCTTTCCAAACCTTTTTGCCTGTAACTCTATAACAAGAGGGCATTTGCCTGTTTGGTTTATTTTATCATGCTTATTTTTTTTTTTAAGCACAGAAACATTTTTTTGTTTCTATTGCTATGTCTTCAAATTAATTATTTCTCTCTCTTTTTAGGAAAAAGCCAAAAAAAATCTTTTGTATTTATGTTGTACAATGGATGATAACCAACATAAAAGAAGGATGAATCATTTCAGAAGTACAGCAACAATTCACTAGGTCAGTGACAGAAATTTTGAATTTCTAATACTATACTCAAGAGTTCTTAGTTCAGCAAACTTTCTCTTTATAGTGCAAATTGCTTTTGTAAATAAGAGCACAAAGAGTGTCTAAAATATTTGAAATAAATTCTGCACTCCTTAGCACTTCAGGAATACTGATAAATATTTAGATATATGCTAATTATTATCATTTTTATCCATTTACTAAAATAAAGACCACTCTTAAGAACTCTGATGGTGAATTGTCTATAAAATATACTCTATAATCCCCATCAAGAGACGTAAGCTCCTTCACCTCCTGTTTGCTGTTGACCTTGGGCAGCTTTGTCTTCAGCCACTAGGCACCTGGAGCTTGATGCTTTAGTAATGCCTGCAGGACCCTGAGCACACCAGGTGCTTCACAATTCCATGCTTTGGTCATGTTCCCACATGACTGGGAGCCCCTGGCCAGCTCTCTTTAAGTATGGTCTATGATTTCTCTCACCCAGCTTTGCTTTTTCTGCATCTCTTAGTGGGATTGAGTGTCCCTCTTCTTTGCCATCAAAGATCAAAGCCTCCTCTCCATAATGATCCTATTACTTGGCCAGAACAGAAATTGGGTCCTGCTCACTAAGATGGTCCTCAGCACCAAACACAAACCCAGGCATAGAGTAGGCAATTAATAGTTATTAAGAGAGAACTGAATTCAATGGCTCCATTTAAGGCATTCTACACAATAAAAATTAACAAAACCATCTTTTCATTATTTTATAATTGAAATAGGCCTGCAACTTAATTGGCCTGAATTAGTGAGATTGCACTGTCCTGTTAATATTGTATTATCTACCTCAAGGGATTTCCATGATAATTCAGTGGAACTATGTATATAAGAATAGTGTATAAAGTACTAAAATATATGTGAATAATTATTTAAATTTATATTATAGAACTAAAATTACATTAGTTATACAATATTTTCTAACATAATTATTTAAAGTTATTTTTGTTCTTTCATATATTCAGTATGCTGTTAAAGTAGATATGACTTGAAATCAAATAACTTTGACAAGTCATGTGAAAGGGGATTCCGCTCAAAGAAAACATACAAATGAAACTACAATGAAAAATTGCAGGTGTAATGTATCTTTCACTAATGAGAGTTCATACTTCTGCTCTGACTCCCATATGCTGAAAACGCCAGTGCATCCTCTGGACCACAGCTTGTAGGGACCGTGGGTAAGTACTAAATGGACTGGGGCAAAGAAATCATCACTCAATTATAGTAAATTACCTTCTTGGAATTTGTAGGTATCAGTAATATCTTTCATGCCATCTCCTTCAACTTGTTTTGTCACAATTAATTTCCCAACGTGGGTGGTATCAACAGCTTCTACCACATGAGTGCCATCTTTCTTTGCTGTAATGTAAACAAGATCACTGTTGACCTGAAAATGATAAAAAGGAGTGTTAGCCATCATAAAATGTCTTTGTTATCAAAATCTCTAATTCTCAATGGTGTAGTCATCTAAAATCCCTGGAATGACATGTTTCTTCAACAACATTGGATTCATGGGGCTAAACTCATTTCAAAACTGTTCTGAAAGGGGATCTAGTCTAGATTAATGACCAGGTATTTTCAATTAAGAATACTTAAGGCTGGGAGCATCAGTTGTCTAAATATCAGTCACCTCCCACCCCCTTTTTTCTTGCTGGCAAACTCTACCTTCTCAGAGAGAGCTGAAAACTCCCTGTTAACTGTCTTTCCCAGACTTCTTTTAAGCTAGCATTAGCTGTGTGATATACTTCTAGGAAAAAGAGAAAATCTGTCGGGTGGCTTCTGGGAAAGGCTTTTTTTTTTTTTTTTTTTAACAAAAGGAGAGAAGGACTTGGGAGAGTTTGCACTTCTCTTTCTGTTTTTGAATGTTTTCATGTGAAGTGAAGTGCTGCTTGGAGCTGCTTTAGCCATCCTGAGACAGTGAAGAGCAACATTGCCAACAATACGAAGACAGTAGAGTAGAAACATAAGCACTGAAGGCTTCACAATGCTTTTAAATGGCTAAGCCAACCTTGGAACTACCTACTTCAGGACCTCTTGAGTTACACGTCATTGAGTCACTTCTGACTCCTGGCAACTCTATAAATGAGTGATTTCCCAAATATTTTATCATCAATGGCCCTGCTCAGCTCCTGTAGACTTATGCCTATGACTTTTTATGTACCCAGTTCATCACATACTTGGTCTCCCTCTTTTCCCTCTCCTTTCTATGTTTCCCAGCATAACTGTCTTTTTACAAGAACACTCTTTACACAATGTGCCTGAAGCAGGACAGCTTCAGTTTTGTCATTTTTGCTGCCAGTGATGTCTCAGGCTTAATTTGCTCTAGATTCCACCTGTTCATTTTTCTGGTGGTCCAGGGTATCCACAGAGCTCTCCTCAAATGCTGTATTTCAAATAAATATTTTTTCTATTAGCCTTCTTTGCTGTCAGACTTTTGCATCCATGTATATTAGTTGGGAATACGAAGGTATAGGTAATCTTAGCATTGGTCTCTAATGGCACACCTTTGTTCTTGGTGATCTTTCCTAATTCTCTTATTGCTTCCCTTTGAGTCTCCATCTTCTCTTGATTTCTTGGCAACAGTCTCCATCTGAACTGATGACTGAACCAAGATAAGCAAAATCTTTAATAGTTTTAATGTCTTCATTGTCTAGGTTAAAGTTGCATATTTCTTTTGTAGTCATGATTCTTGTCTTGATGTTCAAGGGCAGTCCTGTTTTGGCCCTTTCTTCTTTCACTTTCATCAGAAGTCATTTCAAATCATTGTGACTTGTATATCTCAAGTTATTATTAATATTTATGCCACCAATTTTTACTCCTCCTCCCTCTGAGTCTAGCCTAATGGTTCATATGAAATGTTCCATGTACAGATTAAACAATAGGGAGATAAACTGTACCTTCGCCTGACATCTTTGCCTGTAGGAAACCATTCTGTCTCCATATTCTAGACTTACAGTGACTTCCTGTCTCTGATACAGGCTAAGCATCAGGACACTCCAGTGTTGAGGTATGCCCATTTCTTTCAGAGCAGCTTTCCAAGATCCCCACAGTCAAAGCTTTACTGTAGTTTGTAAAACATAATCTAACCTTTCAACCTTTAGGTTTTCTTAAATGAGAAAAATTAAACTCCTTAACTCCTTAAACTCCTACTGTTTAAGTCATTTTAATTGTTATGTGCAGTATAGCATTTTTATTGAAAAATGATATTATCCCTGGCTGGTGTGACTCAGTGGATTGAGTACCAGCCTGCGAACCAAAGGGTCTCTGGTTTGACTTCCAGTCAGGGCACATGCCTGGGTTGTGGGCCAGGTCCCCAGTAAGGGGCGCATGAGAGGCAAGCATACATTGATCTTTCTTCCCTCTTTTTCTCCCTCCCTCTTCCTCTCTCTAAAAATAAAAAAAAAAACTTGTAAAAAATAGCTTTCTTTAAAAAAAAGTAATATTAGACTATCTAGGCAGAATTCAGGCAATTTTCTGGTGATTCAGCAACTAAACCATGCTATCTGTGGGGCTTGGAAATAATGTTTTGGGGCCATGGTAGCTGACCCCAAACTCTTCCAAGGTTCTGCCTCATCACTCTGCTTTTGAGAGACAATGTCTAAATCTGTGCCTGAAGGCTGATTCCCTCAGAGTTCCTTATTATATTCTTTACACTTTCTTGGTGGTCCACGTATTATCATGGAAGCAGGTAGGAAACACAAATTTCACTGCTATATCAGGTGCTCCAGCTGAAAATTGTCCCTGATAGATTTACTAAATATTTTCCAACACCCCTTTCAAGCCTCAGTTCCCTCCTCTTTAAAAAAGGACAATAATAGCTCCTTCCCCAGGGTTGCTCAAAGAATTAACTGAAATAAACCCGTGGAAATTACTTACCATAGTGCCTGGCACATAGCAAACACTCATAAATATTATCAGTAATAAAAATAACAAATTATTCATTAGTATGGCCAGATATTGTTTTAGGTGCTGGAGTTCTAATGACATAGATGAACCACATAGATTAAATCACTTAGAGGGTTTATACTCTAGTAAGAAATATCCTGTGTATCAGAATCACCCGAGGGAATGTAAAAAAAAAATTACATGTCTGGTCAAGGAGGTCTTAGATGGGGCCCTAAACCTATTATCTTGTAAAAAAATGTCCCAGGTAATTCTATTGGACATATAAGCTTGAGAGCCCCTGTAATACAGTACAAAGAGCACCTTACAGGGGAATGTTTAAGATACCACGGTGGGTTGGGGGTGCTAAGAAGTAACAGCCAAGTGGAAACTTGAAAGATTCATAGAAGTTAGTGAACTAAATGATCCCATGTTAAGTGTTCTTACCAAAAAACAAATAGACAAACACACACAAAACTCACAAAAGAGCACAAGGACATTTTTATGAGATGATGGATATGTGTAGTACCTTGGTTGTGGTGATGGTGACACAGAATTAAATGTGTGCAATTCAAAATGATCGGTTATACCCCCAATAAAGCTAAAAATAATTAAAGCATAAAAATGGAGAGAAGGAAGGCTACAGCAGGCAGAAGGACCAGTCCCTGTAAACATTGCGAAGAACATATTCAAAAGGCATACCAGATTAGCTAAAAGACACTTGGGTTTTGATTTTGCATGTGTACTTTTAGAAAGTTACCCTATCCTCTATGACCTTCACTATATGCTTCTATAAAATGCAAATAGTTGTACTTGTCTTGCCAATTTTACAGCAGCATTTTAGGACTGAGTGAGATCAGATCTAGGTGAGCATGACTTGTAAATTTCAAAATGGAGTAAAAAATCTAATGGGGAAACTTAAATTTTAACTTTTAAATAGAGCCTTAAGTTTTAAAGCTGAGGTTAAAGAAATTTAAAATCTCTATTTTCTCACAAAATGTTTTTTAACTTACATAAAATTTGATTCTACTAAGGAGAAAGTAAGTAGCCAACATTTATTAAATACACACAATGTTTCAGAAGCATGTTAAAATTATTTAACTTAAACTCCACAACAATCCTGTGAGGTGTGCACTATGATCCCAGATTTACAGATGAGGCCACCAACACTCAGAAGGTCAGCCCAGTGTTTGTGGACACATGGCTGAGAGCTGGTAGAGAAGAAGTACAAACCCTGGGTTGGCTCATTGTCTGCTCCCTGACTCTGACCCTGAACCGGCCCCTGGCATATTCCTTGACCTTCACAGCTCATGGCCTCTCCCACAGCACCCTGCAGGGCCATGAGCATCACCGTGCATGGCAAAAAGTTTCCCTGCTTGGGCCTCAGAGTTCTGAGGGGAGAATAATGGCGACCCTGCTCCTTAGCAGAGCCTCTGGGATAGGTGGCACTATCCATAGGAAGTGAAAGACCGAAATGTGAAATCAGGAATCAGGGCGGGACATGACAGAGCAGACTCCTAAGGAATGTTTGTCATTTTGGAAAAAAAAAAAAGTTAAGTAACCTTTAAATGAGCCTCCTGAGAACTTTGCCTTTTCCTCTGGGGGAGGCCATGCAAGCACAAACAGCCCCTTCTTCACTCACAAATTACAGCAAAAATAATGACAAATATCCTCTTAGTCATAGCCCATACAACAGCTTATGGTTATCCAGGGAGACAGGGCTAAATATGAAAATGGCTAAATCCTTGTCTCCTCTTGCACACAGCTTAGGAAATTTATGTAGGCGAAAATCTCAGGACAGTCCAACATCACTGCCCCTTGTAGAGAGAGAAGAAACACGTAAGAAGTGGCTTTTTGCATGTGTATATTGGGAGTGGGGGGAATGGGAAGTATTCTATCAAATCAGTATGACACCCTCAAGCTTTTCTTTTCAGTTTCAGTCACTACACTAGTGGTTCTCCATCCTGATCGTATATTAGAGTCACAGAAGGGCTTAAAAACCTGCAGCGATAGGCCCCCACACAAAACCAATTGCACTTCTACAATAGAATAGTCATAAGTGCAGGGGATGCTGGAAAAAATACTGGATCCAGGATGTGTAACCTTAAGCAAGTTACTGAATGTCTCTGGGTTTAATATTACTATTCTTGTAGGGCTGGTCGGTAGATCAGTACTATTTGTGAAAACCTGTTTAAGACCAATTTCTTTTGAATGGAAAGAAGTCTTCATGATTATCTAGTCCTACCCCTATATCTGAAGGGACTATGGTCCCAACCATAATCTGAAATCATGCATCCCAACCTGAAATCTGGTGCTATTTTTTGCATACTGCGCCCTTGCCTCCTGGTCAGACACAGGCATTTCCCACACAGCCTCTGCTGAGGTACAGACCTCAGGGGCTCTGTGAAAGTTGGCCGGTGTAGAAGGCTAGAGGGGACTCTGCAAACTTCTGCTTGTGTTCTTAGAATGGAAACATATGTCCACTGCTGCCAGAAGCTACACTCTTCCCCACCAAGGATGGAGATTTTCTTCAGAACCCAGGACAGGGTTTTCTTTGTTCATTTCTTCCCAGAGATTAACTACACAGCATGTAAGTTGTGCAAAGTGGTGGTCCTCCGAGGATACATTGAGGCAGTTGGCACCTGCTGGGCCCAACTGCCCTATGTCTGCCCTGTGCTCACTGTTCCTGCAGCCTGTGGCGGCCATGCTGCCAGGCCCCCCGGGCCTCATCTCCCACCAGCGCTAGGGGATGCCATCTGGTCCCTATCTTGCTGAGATGCTGTTCTTAGCAGCGTACTCAAGTCAGCTTTTGTTTGCTTGCTTGCTTGACTCATTCATTCATCCAACAAGTATTTATTCATGACTACTATGTGCCAGAACGTGCTTTCACCAATGAGAACATAGAAAGAGAAATAATCAACACTAAGGCAGCATAGAAGGATTAAAAACAACAGGGGAGGGTAGGGTGAGTCAAGGCCTCTTTGGGAGGTGACCTGAACAGAGAGAGGGAACAGAACATTCCCCTAACATACAGTAGGGAAGAGCTTTCACAGCAAGAGGAACAGTATGTATAAAGACTCTAAAATGAGAGGATGTTTGGAAGTTTTCAGAAGAGAAAGAGGGTCAGTGTAACTGGAGGGGAATGACCAAGGGGTGTGTGTGAAGGGGAAGCCAGGGACCAGATCACAGCAAGTCCTATAAAGATTTATGTTCAATTTTATTTTAAGGGTGGTAGGAATCTATTAGAGTTTGGAGGCAGAGTAGTGACACACTTTTATTTACATTTTGAAAATAAAATTCTGGCTGATTTATGGAGAATAAATAGAAAATGGGCCAAGAGGAGGATGGAGATGGATTAGCAGGCAACTTCACAGGGCTCAGTGTTGTGAAGAGCTCAGAGGGTAACGATCAACCATCATAGACATGGCTGATGAAAGACAATTTTTAAAAAAAATTTTATTTATTTCTTAGAGAGAGGGGAAAGGAGGGAGAAAGAGAGTGAGAGAAAGACCAATGTGTGACAGATACATCAATTGGTTGCCTCTCACATGCTCCCAACTGGGGACCTGGTCTGCAACCCAGGCACGTGACCTGTCAGGGAATTGAACCTAAGACCTTTTGGTTTGCAGGCCAGTACTCAATCCACTGAGCCACACCAGCCAGGGCACAATTTTTAAAGGTTTTCCTGGCAAGATGCCCAAGGAAGATTATGGAAAGAAGCCAAGATGATTTCCAAGTTTTGCGTTATTTAAGTGAATAGATGAATAATTTTAGGTCAGATAAAAGGTGCCAAAATGGGCTGCATCTAATAAGTGGTCACAATATAAACAACTTTGAATTGAGAATAAAGAGTCTGCAGAGAAGCAACTACACAGGCTGGATGCAGAGAACTGACAGCTCGGAACTTGGGAAGGTTCTGGAGCCACAGGGTGGTTACTTCTGGAGCCACAGGGTGGTTACTGTGGTCCTCAGGAACCAGTCATCACCACTGCAAAAACCAGCTCAGTGCGCAGGAGGGAAGACAGGAGTGTGTGTGTTTGTGTGCATGTGTGCAAACATATGTGTTTGCATGCATGTGTGTGTGTGTGTGTTTGAGTTTGAAGTGTAATGGTGTGAAGGAGACAACAGATCCAATCAGAAGAAGCTGAACTAGAGGAGAAGCAGCAATTCCTGAGAGCTTAGTGAACACAGGAATTCAGAAGGTGATTCCAAACTTCTAGGGCCACTCTGTTCCCCTTTCACCTCTTTGGGAGCCTGAGGGCACTGTGAATTGGGGAAAGAAAAGGCAGATGGCCCTCCAGAACTGAGAAACTCACCCCTGCACTCAGGGCATGAGAAGGGAGGAGGAGAGAAGTAAGTTTTAAGCCTTGAAAAGAATCTATAAATGCTCAGGATAAATTTCCAAAATGGAGGAGGAGAGGAAAAGGGACAGAGGTAAGATGCTCTCTATTCATAACCCCTCTTAGTTGGGGTTCTGCTTCACTAAAGAAGACCAAGGTCCTGACAGGAGCAAAAATGTCAATAAACAATGCTTGCTCTGGCTCAGAAATGAGTAAGGAATGACACAAAAAGCATGCCAAGAGACAAGGAAAGGCAGACTCCAGCTGATCTACCTGGGGTAGGTGGAGAGAGGCAAGTTTACGCAGCCAGGAAGTAAGAAGGGGAAGAGAGGACGCAGTCTAAATCCTGAGTCATGAGATGCCCCCCGTGGTGTCCTATTTTAGGTACCATTGAGAAAAGATTCTTCATACCCTTTTCAACAACTCAAACATCTCTTATAGGTGACTCAGCCCTGGAGCTCAGCCTGTACCAGAGCAACAGACTGTACACTGTACCAGATGAGTCTGCAACGGTGAGTAGAGTATTTATAATCTTCAAATCCCAATGACATTCATAATGCCCCAATCTATATTTAATAACAGCAAAAGTGTTTGCATTAACAGCTATTAGGCAATTTGCTCTTGGAGGGAGGTTCCTTCTTCTTTCTTTCTTTGCAGTAATAAAGCATAAGAAAAGTATAAAAACAAAGCTTTGTGGATTTTAGAGTGATTTTCTGTTAAGAGGTTCTCATAGCATCATATACTATTAGATGGCAGCTGGGAGGTTTAGATAAATCTTCAAATCCCAAGGTGAAATTGAGGAAATAAAATTCCAAATATGATATGCTTGTTCTCCCAAGGCTATTAGAAACTATAATGGGAGATATGGTGGAAGAAACATTGTTCATTTGTGTATTTCACATTTCTGAATTTTCTGTTGAAATATTTACACTTTTTGTACTTCTAGAACATTCCCCAATCCTGCTTCCACCTTCGCCCTCAATTGCTATTTGTCCAGTCCTTTCTGGCGTGGAGTAATGCCGCAGCCTTCTAGCTGGTCTCTGCACTTCGGTGGCGTTGCTGTCCAGTCCATGCTCTCCAAATCTCATGTCTCTCCCCTGTGGCAATGCTCTTGTTTGCAGGGTGAAGTGCCCACTTCTCAGGACCTAAGTCCCTTACATCTACTTCCTTCAGCTGTCATCTTTTGACACCTGCTGATGCGTCATTTTTTTTGTGAGCTTTGAATAGATAGCTTTGAATGCCTCCCATCCCCATTTGGATGCTCAAATAATCCTCCCTAACTGAAATTATTTCCTTCCTCTGGCTTCTTTCTTACCCCTTTTGCCCAAATAACTACTAATTATCCAAAAAGATTCAACTCAGGCACTGATTCCTGCAGGCAGTGTCTGGACGCTCCTTCCAGGCTTTGGCAACACTCTGATCATCTTACTGTGACTGTCACCAAGGTGTCATTACTGTCTGTCCCTAGGCCACCATCCCACCCTAGACATGGTGTTATGGCCTTTGCTCCCCTACTTCAGTTCCTGGCCCATATTTCTCAGTTAATGAATCTGTATGTATAAATGCAGGTAATTTATCACTTACATTGGCCATCTGACAGTTAGTTCTACAGCATCTCTCGAACTATTATTTAACTTTTGATATGTTTATGTATTCCACCCCCTCCCCATCAAGAATCAAGTTTCTTAAGGACATAGGCCTCTGAATTCCCCACAGTACACTGCCTGGTGCATATTAATAATAGGTATTTACTCATCCCAGTCATAGAGTGTGGTGGTTAGTAAAGCAGTTGCTTTCAAGGGAAAAATAATCTCAAAACATCCAGGAAAGAAAAATGTTAGCTAAGACCTGCATTTAGAATTAATAGCCTGGAGGTTGAAATGGTGTCTAGTTAACTTTGTAAGCACAAAGCATATGCCACATACCTGGGAAATTTAGAAGGAAAAACTCAGTATCTTACTCTTTGAGGTGTTAAGAGGTCCAGGAGTAAAGCAGCAGTTTCCCTGGCTTTCCACTTACCTCTGCAAAAACGAAGGGTGCATCAAACTGGAAGCAAACATGACCATGCTTAATGGCTTGAACAGAGGCCGGACCACACCGATACATCCCTGCACCACACAGAGGAGAAGAGGGTGAGTTTGTGTCTTCAAGTCTGTCCAGATTCAGGATAGGACATAGCACTGAGAAGGCTCTGCAGAGCTAAGTGTTCCTCAAGTTTGTCATTGACTTAGCTCAATACTTTCCATGACATGGAGGGCAGAGGACCAATATGTGTAATCAGGATTGTTTTAGTGGTAACGTCTCCTCAAAAACAAATTTTAAGCCATGAAAAAAATGCAGGAAATCACTACTCCTGTGTCTACATTCTTCCACCTACAACCACATACTCAAGTGTGAGTCCCACGCTGTTGGCTAATATAACATTTATGCTTTTACAGTTGGAATCTGGAATGTTGGAAATGGTGATATGTCCTCAGGGGTTGTGTTGTTGTTTGTTTTGTGTTTTGGACATTGAGAACACCTGCCAAGAGGATCTGGGCGCTAATCACACACATTGACCAAAGCCCAATATGCACTAAGGAAGTCAATAGGCCCATGTTTGTTTATGTTTACAAAGTTTTAAAATTGTAACCAGCTGTCTCTAGTTAATAAGAGATTTACTGCTATTAGTCATCTCTAAAGTCTTTTCATGATATACGGTAAGGCAAAAGTAGGTTTACAAAACACAGTATGCAAAACACAGAATTTATTTTTTTATTACTATTTATTAATCATTGTATTATTTTCCATACAAACAACTGTAAACCAACTTTTCCCCACACTATATAACCTGGAACACCAGAAAGTATTGAATTTTCTCCCTTAAAATCCACTGTTTTTTTTAATAAACATGTGATGAATGTTTATGTACATGTACTCGTATACATAAACACATGCTAAAATCTCATATCAACACCCGAGGAAATAAACATAATGTCCCCAGGCCATCACTTTTCATCATCATATTAAAGATAAATAGAGGCTTATGATGTGATTTTATTAAAATCTTGTAGGGGAGTCATAGCTGCTAATCTCTGCTTAGCATAATTTGCAAGTTAGATGACAAACACCCACATACTCAAGTTTTGAAAGAAATCATACAATATAAAAGGAAATTAGATTCTGGGAAAACACCAATTTTTTGAGTCCTTTATTTTCTCTACTACCTTATTTCTTACCACTGTATACCAGGGAGGGTGGAAGTATGTTTTATAGCCCAATAAAAGTGCTTACACAGATATTTTTCCCCCTGTCTTTTAAACTGCTTATCAAAGCAGGAGTAGATGAATTATGTATGTTAAGTTTTATGCTTTTTTTCCCCTAAAAGTTATAAAATAATCAGGGTAAAGCCAACCATTTAAATGAAATTAAGTTAAAGAACAAGTTTAAATGACCCATGGACATGGACAACAGAGTGGGGATTGACTGTGGGAGTGGGGGGTGGGTGGGGAAAGGGAGAACAGTGGGGGAAAATTGGGACAACTGTAATAGAACAATAATAGAAAACAAACAGAAAGAGAAAATAAAAAGAAATGAAATTAACCCTGATTGGCAGGTGGTTACTACTGTGCATGTGCACAGGAAGCTCATTTTTGATGTTGGTTCCCACTGGGAGTGTTTCCCACACTTCAATGGCAATCATAAAAGCAAAATGAACATCGGCAGTTAGGCGGTATCTTAAGAGGAAGGATGCAGGTTTACCATCACTGTTTTCCTGTGGGGTGCTGTCCACGGCTTGCCAGCCTCCAAATCCAACAGGAAGATCAGGCCTCGTCATCCAGGCTTCATTCCAGCAGTGGTAGTTCCTTGGAAAACACCAGTCCAGTGAGAGCCAATTTTCCATTATAGTCAATGCTCCAAAAAATTAAAAAGTGACCAAAAATCCTTATAATACACCATCTACTAATTATTGGAATGGATTAAATTAACTGAGGACTGTCAGAGATATTCTGAGCTCTAGACTTGAGTTTGCTAGGCAGGTCCATTCTCTTCGGTACCTCTAGGGGCACTCACCTGGCTGGACATTGCTCTTCTCCAGCTAATCTCAGTTTCAAGTCCCCCCAGAAATATTCTAATTGGCACATTAAACAGTTTTGATCTTAACCCTTCTCTGTTGCCTAATGAAACAGAACTTACTACATGCTAAAAGGGTAGGAAAAAGTTAATTGAAAACAAAATACATACATCTTTGCATTTCTTTTGTATTTATGTATATTAGATTTATAAAAAGCATATCCCTTGTAACAATTAAGCAAGAAAATGCCTGTGTTTATGGGTTTAGACCATTGCAAAGGATACTATAACATTAACTCTTGACTAGAATTGTCTATAATTGTGGCAAATTTCCATTTGCTGTTCAGCAAGAAGGAAAGGTTGTTGGGGGGGGGTGTCTCTTTACCCTTTATCAAGGTGGACAACCCACAAGATGAGGGCCATTCAAAACTTGTCACAACTTTGCATGTGACCCTGAAGGCAAGAGCATGGAACAAAATGTCATCATGAATTGTATTATTATGTCCCTGGAAAGACCTGAAATTATATGACACTATAGAAACAAATGAGAACACATGAACCCATCCACACCACAGAAAACTACAGAAAAATATTCATGTAGTAATAACAATTTAACGGGAGGTGAAGCAGGTGCAGCAGTCTTTGTTTACAGCACTGATTAATTTCAGATACAACTACTAACTATCCTTTTCCTAAATGTCCTTCAGTGTTATTAATTTGTGCATGTTCCCATCTCACTGATGGCTCAACTTTGATTGGCTCAATTAATAGGTATTTATTTAACTATGACCCATTATGTGGCAGACACCATGCTAGACACTGGAGATTCAGCAAAGATCAAGATGTAGGTTTTTGCCCATAAAGAGCCTTACAATCTAGGAGAAATGAAAAACGTGTAAACCAATTGTTCAAATGTTTCCTAAGTTTGCTATGAGGCTTAAACAAGATGATAAATGTACAGCGCTCTACATATGTCATATAATAATGCTCAAAAATGGTAACTCTCAGACTATTAAAAATAATTGATGTGATGCACACTACAGTGGAAATTCATCTGAAGTGTAATAGGCCTTGGTGGGAAACTCTCAGGGCATACGCAAAGACTTCACAGCAGAAGTGATATTTGAACTGAGTCCTGGAAAGTAAGTTGGACTTTTACAAGTCGACAAACAGAGTAAGAACAAAGTTGTGAAGGCATTAAATAGATCCACAGTGTATTTGGGGAACTGCATGCTGTGGCTGGGCCTGGAGGGTAGTTTTTTTTTTGCATATTAGTGTGCATGAGAGAAGAGGATGGTGGGTGAGGGTGGGCAGTAAGTCACAACGCTGACAAATACACATAACACTTAATGTGTGCCAGGCATCATTCTAAAGGCTTTTTGTACATTAACACATCAGATGTTCCTAGTGTCCTATCAGAAGGGCACTGTTATTTATTATCCCCTGTTTACAACAGAGGAAGCTGAAGCACAGAGGGGCTAAGACTCTTGCCTGTGGTCACACAGCTAGTTAGTAATAGAACTGCAGGGTCTGAGTTATGCTGCAGGTAAGGATGAGGTAGGTAGTGAGACCCTTTTATCTCAAATTAAATATTTGGGTTTTATTCTTGGGAAAGTTAAATTTGCAATTCTGTATTTGTGAAAGATGTGTGAACAGGCAACATGAGAGATTGAGTCAAATTACCCCTGCCCCCAAATACTACAAATAGTTGCAATGGATCAAAAATGTATTCACTGCAGAGGTGGTCATCACAGTGGAGAGGGAGAGGAGCCACTGGGAGTTTCAATGATGGCTTAATGGAGATAAGTTGAGGAAGACTTTTACATTTACCAAGACTGAATGAAGGAGGCACTGAACAAGGTTTGTGCTGAAGGGGGCAGTGTTGGGTGGGTGATAAGATTATATTGGACATGATGGACTTGAGTGTCTGTGGCAAATCCAGGAGATGAAACCCAAGAGGGATTTCTATATACATATGTCACATTCAGGATTGGGAGGAAGAAGTCTGTGACATCTTTATGGGTGATGGAGGAGAGTGGGGGGAAAGAGCCAGAGGAGGAGTGAGTGAAGGGGAGAGGTGCAGAGTAGATTTCTCCCCTGATAGTGATCTAGACTGTGAAGGGAAGAAGAGAAGATAGGGCAATGGCTAGAAATAATGCTATGCCAGGAAGAGTGTTTGGATTATTTTTATGGTAGGAGAGATTGTCAGCTTGTAGGGGGGAAAAAAACAGTCTAGAAAGAGTGGGAATAAAGAGAGATGGAATGAAAGGAGGTTCCAATACCAAGGATGCAAGTGATCAAGAGCAGCACCATGGACATGTGTGGGGAGCAAGATATTGTCTATGGGGGACAGAGGTGCAGATGAAGATCAGAATCAGGGTATGGAGGCTCTGGGGCAGGAACATGGGTTGGTTCCTACTTGAGAGCCTTTATCTTTGCCCTGGAGCTGGAAGACAGGTCATAGTATGAAATGGTGACTGCTTGCCTCTCTTTAGAAGAGTGGAGGTTGCACCATTACATTAAGAGATACAGAAAACACAGCAATGAAACATTTGCAATCCCAAATGGACACAGTCCTGCTTCCTACATATACAATGCGTGGTGTTTACCAACCCTGGCTTTCACCAATACATTACCACTCTAGATTAATAGGCCCCAGAATCTCCTTATTTAAATTTAAATATCTTGAGCAAAATTAAGCCTTGAACAAGATACACAAGCTTTGCATTTAAGATCTCAGGTAAAAACTTTTATTTGAGGATAATATTTCTTTTCAAATGACCAGGAGATGGGGAAAACATTGTTTTCTCTTGTTATGATATCTAACTAGTTATTTGCGATCTCTTCCACTTTAACCCATGACTGAGAACTTATCTAAGGGTGGAAGAGTTTAATAAGAGGATCAGGAACTTGTAAGCAGTGGGAAAGGTAGACATAACTATGAGCTGTATACCTGACCTACTGCCTAAGAGTTTCTGGTGGTTGGGTCTTAGCACACAGAAAAGCAATGGCTGGGCTCCCAGCATGGCTGTGAGCAGAGGAAGCCATGGGGCTTTTTCCCATCATGCTATTCTCTGTTCAGCAATGGCTAGGGAGAGTGTATTTTGGGCCACTCATGCTATGAGGATTCCCTTTTGGATGGATGTTAAGTATTTCTGGGTACACATACTTGTCCTTTATATTTCAAGTTCCCCCATTAAAGACGCTAATAATAATGATAGACATTCCATAATTCCATTTACCTACTTTCTAGGTTGGGAAGTCTAGATGCTTCTTGAAGGGTCATTCTTATTTTGTAGCTTCTTTATCTAGATTCTTAATAGCTATTCTGCTTTTTTCCTGTGGTTTCATCTTGCATGTGCAGAGTACATGGATTCACTTTGGAGCTCTGTCTTATTTGCCATCACATTCTCAACACCAAGCTAGCCCTTGGGAGGCACTTGCAAAGTAATGGTTAATTAAAAGGTGAGGACATCTAACAAGGCAGGTGTAATTAAACCTTTGTTTTTGAGATTCAAAGTTTTATATTTTTTCAGAGCCTTAATTTGAAGCCTGACCTTCCACTATACCACCAAAATGTGCAGTGTCCTTTTAGAGTGAAAAAAATTATAAACCTTCAAAGAGATCTACTTTCCTTATTGCTCTTTCTAAAGAAGCAGTGTCAAATTAAAACAAAGCCCCTGTTTCACAGAGAATTATTTAATCAAGTTGAAATAACTTTTTTGGGGGGTGGATGATGATGGAGATGACAAGTGAAGAACACATTTTTGTTTTATGTTACTTTCTGTGTGCTTCCTGCAGTGGCAGTGATTTCTGGAGCTCCTTTCAAGGATACTAATAATACAGCAGTTTCAGTACAAAGGACCCAGAAAATCTTCATTGAAGGCAGAAGCTCCCTAATAAAACAGAACCATGTACTGCTTGGGGACCCTTGAAGGTATGTCACAGTGTTGAAACTAAAGTTTATGCTTTGATTCAGGCAACCCCTGTCCTTGGAATTTGCACACAGGAGATAATCATGCAGATGCATTGGCAAGTGCATATCCATGTTCATCCTTGTGTTATTTGTAAGAAGGAAAAATTGGAAACAGCCCAATTGCCCAATATGTAATTAATGTTCTGAAACACAAACTGGAATACTATTTAGCCATAAAAATGTAGGTCTATATTTACTAGACAAAAAAGATACCTATGGCATATTAATTTTTAAAAATCACACTACAGAACACCATATATGGTGTATATGCTTATTGTGTATGTAAATAAGTATGAAAGGCAGAATCTTAAATGACCCTCACTCTTGTATAATTTTTTCCCCTTAAAATCTATTAATAAGATGGTATATCACTCTTGAAATTGTGTTACTTTATATGGCAAAGAGGATTTTGCATATGCAATTAAGGTAATTAATCTGTTGACTGAGTTAAATGAGAGATTACCAAGGTGGGTCTGACCTAATCAGGTGAGCCCTTTAAATGTGGGTCTAGAGCACAGAGACTGAACAAACCAGAGATTCAAAGCAGCAGAGACATTATACTGCTGGTCTTGAAGAAGATGGCTGCTTATATGACCTTTAAAGCTGCAAGAAACTGAGTTCTTCCATGAACCTGAATGAGCCCTGAACATCAAATTGGACAACAGTCCCAGCTAACACTTTGATTGATGTTATTTGAGACCGTGAGCAAAGGACTCAGTTAACCTGTGCTCAAACTTCTGACTCACAAAAATGGTTTGATAATAAATTTTTGTTGTTTTAAGCTGCTAAATTTTTTGGTAATTTGTTATGCAGTAA